TACCAGTTTCAGCCCATCTGATGAGTTCCTAAGACACACCAGCTTGCTCTGGATTGAGAGACAACATGTGATCCATGCTCAAATATGTAGAAGCAGAAAAGGTTGAGAAACGCTGCTCTAGACCATTCGGGCCATATAGCCCGAAAAAACCTACAACAACCCAGTGATTCTGGCCATGAAAGCCTTCGACAATCCATTTTCCCATGCTTTTATCACAGAACCAATTAGGAAATTATATTTATAACCCAGGAACAAGAATCATAGTGTTACATACTGTTCTGTATTTGCCTTTTGGGTCAATAATACACATTTACAAATATTTATATCATGTTGTGAAATGGGTAAGGGAAATATGGCATGGCACCCAAAATATTCTAGTTGAGGACCCTCTGTTGCCCACCCCTGGGTCTGGTTTAGAGAAAGGAAGAAACAAATGTTAACTTGGCAATTAATGTGACCAAAACATGCTTGAAAACACGATGGGGTGAAATACAGCCTTTCCATTTTCCCCCCAAGCAGATTGCAGTAGGGTTGCTCACTCCATTCGTATTGTTGCTGCCCTGGCCAAAGTAGACCAACTCAATGCGGGGACTGTTTATGAATCGCTGAACGAGTTGTTTGTTCAGGAGGCTTGGCAAAGGCAAGGACAGGCATCCCATTCAGAAAGGCCATGTTTGCAAGTTGTCTTAGGAAGAGCAACAAAGCAGCGCCAGCGGGTCGCACATGGCTGCCCGCCAAGCGCCATCCCAGGCTCACATAATGTTTGTTCCAGACCTACAATTGTTTGAGCCCATTCTCCACCACATTTGGGGGGATGGGACACCCATTACTTTGGGTTGTTTTGAGTTTTCAGGGTTACATGGTCTTGTTCCAGTAGCATTCTCTCCTGACATTTCTGCTGCATCTGTGGCTAAAACAGTATGTGTGAAAAAGATCTTGGAGTCCTCGTGGACAAGTTAAACATGAGCCAACAATGGGATGTGATGGCAAAAAAAAGCCAATGGGATTTTGGCCTGCATCAATAGGAGCATAGTGTCCAGATCTAGGGAAGTCATGCTCCCCATGCTCTATTCCGCTTTGGTTAGACCACACCTGGAATATTGTGTCCAATTCATCAAAAACAAGTCATGCCAGACTAATCTGATCTCTTTCTTCGATAGAGCTACAAGCTGGGTAGATGCGGGGAATGCCGTGGACATAGCGTACCTGGATTTCAGGAAGGCCTTCTTTGACAAGGTCCCCCATGACCTTCTGGCAAGGAAACTAGTCCAATGTGGGCGAGGCAAAACTACGGTGAGGTGGATCTGTAATTGGTTAAATGGACGAACCCAGAGGGTGATTCTCCCCAAGGCTTCCTCTTCATCCTGGAAAGAAGTGACGAGTGGAGTGCCGCAGGGTTCCGTCCTGGGCCCGGTCCTGTTCAACATCTTTATTAATGACTTAGATGAAGGGTTAGAAGGCAGGATCATCAAGTTTGCAGACGACACCAAATTGGGAGGGAGAGCCAAGACTCCAGAGGACAGGAGCAGGATTCAAAACGATCTTGACAGATTAGAGAGATGATGGGCCAAAACTAACAAAATGAAGTTCAACAGTGACAAATGCAAGATACTCCACTTTGGCAGAAAAAATGAAATGCAAAGAGACAGAATGGGTGACGCCTGGCTCGAGAGCAGTACGTGTGAAAAAGATCTTGGAGTCCTCGTGGACAACAAGTTAAACATGAGCCAACAATGTGATGTGGCGGCAAAAAAAAAAAGCCAATGGGATTTTGGCCTGCATCAAGAGGAGCCTAGTGTCTAGATCCAGGGAAGTCATGCTACTCCTCTATTCTGCTTTGGTTAGACCACACCTGGAATATTGTGTCCAATTCTGGGCACCACAATTCAAGAGAGATATTGACAAGCTGGAATGTGTCCAGAGGAGGGCGACTAAAATGATCAAGGGTCTGGAGAACAAGCCCTATGAGGAGCGGCTTAAGCTGGGCATGTTTAGCCTGAAGAAGAGAAGGCTGAGAGGAGATATGATAGCCATGTATAAATATGTGAGAGGAAGCCACAGGGAGGAGGGAGCAAGCTTGTTTTCTGCTTCCTTGGAGACTAGGACACGAAACAATGGCTTCAAACTACAAGAAATGAGGAAGAACTTCCTGACTGTGAGAGCCATTCAGCAGTGGAACTCTCTGCCCCGGAGTGTGGTGGAGGCTCCTTCTTTGGAAGCTTTTAAACAGAGGTTGGATGGCCATCTGTCAGGGGTGCTTTGAATGCAATATTCCTGCTTCTTGGCAGAATGGGGTTGGACTGGATGGCCCAGGAGGTCTCTTCCAACTCTTTGATTCTAGGATTCTATGATTCTAATGGCATCATCAGAGGTTCTGTTGGCAGTGAAGCAAGTGAAAAATATATGTATAGCTGGGGCTAACAGCGGAAGTTCACACCACTCCCTGGATTTGAACCTGCGACCTATCGGTCAACAAGCTCAGCAGCTCAGCGGTTTAACCCACTGCGCCACCCGGGTCTCCAATCAGATGAAGATGCCAATAATAATAATAATAATAATAATAATAATAATAATAATCTTTTTTAAATATCCTGCCACCATCTCCCCGAAGGAACTTGGGGCAGTTCACAAGGCACTCCAGGGTGCACATATAATATACAACAGCTAAAAACAGTACAAAAGTATAAAACAAGTCACGTAAAATTATAACAACATTCGCCACAGATGCAGGCAAAACGTCAGGAGGAAATGCTACTGGAGGATGGCCAGACAGCCCGGAAAACTCACAGCAACCCAGTGCTTCCAGCCATGAAAGCCTTTACAAAACCATTGCTTTACTTTTCCCAACTCTTGTCCCTCTCCGGCTCGATTTTGTCTGCCTTTTGCAAATTTGCACTTCACCTAGAAGAGTCCCCAGATGTGAAAATGGGAAAGCCAAAGTTTTGGGTTTGGGCCAAGTTGGCTGGGAATGCTGGGAATTGTAGTCTGAAAGGGAAGGGTTTCCAAGCAATGGGGAAATCACGAATGCCAAGGCAACTCTGAAGAAGAATGGCATTTAAAAAAATGTTTTTATGGATTTCACTCAATTGTTTTTAAATAGTAACGAGGTTTCATCCTGTTTCAATATTTGCCTATTTTGTATTGCTTTGTAATGCAGTTTTATTCCACCTTAACTGCTATGAAATCCTTAGATTCATAATTTGGTGAGGCACCCGCTCACTTTAGTAGAGAAAGCTAAGGACATTACGAAATGGCAACTTAAAGCGGTATCGAACTGCATCAATTCTAGAGTGCAGATGTACCCAAAGCAATGCCGATTGAAACGCTTCCCCTCCTGGACTTGACTGACTTTGCGATGAATATGTTCCCAAAAGAGGGGTGAAGTTGGGGAACTTCCATGAACCCAAGCGCTGAATTTGGATCGACAAGAGGTCCAATTGCAAATGGAGAATATAGTCCCGTTAATCCCACTGCAATGGCTATTTGGTTTAGTCGGAGCTTACCAGCGCACCATGCACCATGCAGCAAACAGCAGGGCTTTAACTGTGGAAACAGCACACAAATGCAAACTAAGCAGGATGAAGATGATTAGGAAATGACATTTATCACCCAAGGAGCAAATATTGTGCGACATAGTGTAATTCAGACCCTAGACCAGTGATTCTCAACCTGGGGTCCCCAGATGTTTTTGGCCTTCAATTCCCAGAAATCCTAACAGCTGGTAAACTGGCTGGGATTTCTGGGAGTTGTAGGCCAAAAACATCTGGGGACCCAAGGTTGAGAAGCACTGCCCTAGACTATCAATCCTAAAGGCCCAGTGCTGTGTTGACATTGGGATTTTCTGTCTCTGCATTCCTATGAAGGGCTAAAGATGTGACCATTGTGACCACATTGTGATCAAGAGGCTTCCACGTGGCACATTTTATCTCAGGACTAGGCTCTATTACCACCTACCGCATTTACCCGAATCTAATGCTCACCTTTATTGGACTAAATGACCTCTCCAAAATGAGGTTGTGCATTAGATCTGCATCGTACGGTCATTGTAGTGCTGAGCCAAAGCCAAAAAGGGAAGCTGTTTCAGGAGCTCCTCCTTGGGGGACCTCATCTTTAATTGAATTGCATTGACTTAATGTTATGCCATCCTGGGATTTGTAGTTTGGTGAGGCCCTAGCTTCCTTTGGCACCACCATGATCCCAAACTGTGACTCCATAGCATTGAGTTAATGTGGATTCATTCTGCATCACAGATTGCACCCCAAACCTCTCCGGGATGAGAGGGTGGGTTAAAAATCAAGATGATGATGATGATGATGATGATGACTATTATATTCTGCAGCAAATTCTTGGTTTGGTTTCAGGATTTTGGAAACCGAGTTGTGCATTAGATTTGGTTGAGCATTAGACTCGAGTGAATACAGTAATCATCGGATTGGAAGAGACCACAAGGACCATTTAGTCCAACTCAGGCCCCTTCTACACTGCAAAATCCGGATTATCCACTTTGAACTGGCTGCTTATTGTTCTGTTTCTTATTGTGATATTGCCTAAGGGCTAATCAATAAAAAATTACTACTACTACTACTTTGAACTGGATTATATGGCCATTCAGACTTATATAATCCAGTTCAAAGTAGATAATGTGGATTATCTGCTTTGATAAACTGGATTATATGGCAGTGTAGAAGGAGCCTCAGAAACAGGGCCTTCCTGAAACAAGGATTTGGTCTATTGAGTCCAACTTCCCCCAAACATCCCATCTAAGGATGCTACAGAGAAGTGGAGAGGAACCAAGCTTGCAAATCCGGTGCCGTCTTGAAGGCGGAACACAGCCATCTCTTGCTCAACCACGCCAAAGCCACAATGCAGGGCTTGAAAGGGTACGACTGGCTCTGCTTTTGCACCCAGAAGGGAATAATAATAATAATAATAATAATAATAATAATAATAATAATAGTAATAGGAGTAGAAGGGAACTTCATGAGAGAAAGCCAACTTAC